ATTTTTCTTAAGTCTTTATTTATAAAGGATGAGTCCATGGAAAACATACAACTCCATTTTAGGAGGTCACTAGGTTTACATAATATGTGAAACATGGTGCAGTGTAAGACCAGATCTGCTCATACCAGGGGCGGACTGAAAACTCGTGGGGCCCCCGGGCAATAGGGGATCATGGGGCCCCTGTGTCCTCACCCACACTCAAACCACAACCAAGAAAGCCTATGAAAGGTATTTATGGGGCCCCCTACTGACCCCGGGCCCCCGGGCAGTGCCCGAGTTTCTGAATGGTCAGTCTGCCCCTGGCCCATACCCTACCCTAACTTTACATATACAAAGAGAACTTTTACAGCCATGGCTTGTCTTGTAGGATGTTACATTATTTCTAGTCAAACCTTAAAAAACAAAGTGATCTGGCTAAATGGTTAGCACTTCCGCCTGGCAGTGCTAAGATCATTGGTTCATAATCCCAATCACAGCACCACCTGCCTGGAGTTTGCATGTTCTCCCTTTGCCTGTGTGGATTTTCTCCAGGTACTCCAGTTTCCTCCCACACTCCAAAGACATGCTGGTAGGTGAATTGGCTCCTGTCTAAATTGGCCCTAGTATATGTATGAATGTAAATTAGGCACCTCAGATTGTATGCCACTTGATGGTTAGGGACTGATGTAAATGTACAATACATATGTAAAGCGCTGTGTAAATTGATGGCGCTATATAAGTACCTGAAATAAACAACTGTAGTGATGTATGCCATTGGATGGAACAAAGCACAGCGGAAGACCAAGCGCCTAACACTTCTGGAAGTGTGCCAGATGCTAAAGATTTTAGCAAACCTCTCTCTTAGGCTGAGTTTCCACGGGCAGCAGAGGAGGTAAAAATAAATGGTTAATCTGGTTTTGACCACCTCTTGACTTCCCGACTACAAAAATACCATGACGGCTGCTCAGGTCCATCCATTTTGCTGCGGCCCTGATGTCAGTGGGCCAAAGCATAATCATGGGCCAACCTCTTTGGCATGCGGCCGCGGCACCGTATTGCAATGCAAATTCCCCCTTGGGATCATAAAAAGAAAAAAAAAACAGGCATTTTCTGAGGCAGCAGTATTGCCTCCTGAACGCCTGTAAACCAACTCTAAACCATCTTTGTAATGGGTTCCACCATGAATCAGATTTAAGGGGTGTGTTTAGAATCACTGCAAGTGTGCACTAGACCTAGGGCAGAGACGTTTAATGGTGGGAGCAGCAGGACAGGTAAATATTAAGCTTGCTTTGCAGGGAGTTATTTTAAACTTTTAAAACAGTGAGAGAATTATTCTTTTGCTTTTAACTGAAATGTACCTTTAACATAACCTCAAAGCCAGGCTATGGATATTTAAAATGTTACTAAACCCAGGACCCTGCATTCACTATATCTGGTCTTCCATAATACACACAACATGGAAATGCAATTATTCTAGTAAATATAAACTGTTAAATACCTTTTCTCATCAGCAGTTAGAGCAGTCTTGTGACTTATATCAGTGTTCAGCAGAGCACTGGTTAAACTTTTAGGGGGAGTTTTCTTTCTGCTCTAGGAGGGTGCAAAACCTCTGACCTCTGTCTGAACAGTGCTGATTAGCCCTGTGCTGATCACATGCACTCTCCCAAGAAAAACAAAACCTGTCTAGCAATACACACTAAACTGAGCATGTGCAGAATGGCTAAGGAACGGCTGAGTCTGTCTTAGCAGGAGTACTCCACCCCTTTTTACATCATCCCCCCCCACATTGCTGTCCTCAGCCCCCCACATTACTGTCCTCAGCCCCACATTACAGTTCTTAGCCCCCCTACTTTAATGTCCGTAGCCCCCCCACATTACTGTTCTAAGCTCCCCCCACTTTAATGCTCTCAGCACCTCATTTTAATTCTCAGCTTATCCACTTTAATTTGAATGTTCCCCCCACCCCACTGTCCTCAGTCCCCCAATAGTACTGTTCTAAGTCCCCCCCACATTCAGTCCTCAGTCCTCCAACATTCAGTCCTCAGTCCCCCCACATACAGTCCTCGCCTCCTTTTCACATCAGCCCCCTTCACTCTAATGTCCTTAGCCCCTTTAACTTGGAAACCCCCCCCAACCAACAAACAAACACACACACACTTCTACCTTACACAGAGAGTGACTGACAGACAGTGCTTGATTGCTAAGACTGCCCTTCATCCTAGCAACCAATCACCTGCTTGTTAACCTCGGGCAGCTCCTGCCCTCCATCCAGAACTGTCCTGTCTCCCACTGTCAACTCTGCGAGGATGACCGCGAGATGGCTGGGGGAAGAAAAGGCTCCTAAATGGCAGGACCGCATGGGTCCGGATGGGATAATGACTCAATCGGCATCCGGACCCCGATCCGCCATTTAGTGATGCCTGATCTAGGAGATTCCCAGACACAAACATCAAAACTCCCCTAGGGCTTAAAGCAAATGGGCCATTTTATATAAGTATGTTGGTTTGCTGCATTGTGCATTCCCTCCTCATTCATGTGAGATGAGGTGGCCACAGACAAAGTTTTCTGTAGCAGGCTTCATATCTGATGCAATATGCAATGATAGCTAACCCAAGAAGAATGCATTCTTCAAGTAAACAGTATGTAAAAAACGCATTTACGGTATAATCAACATAATTGTATGAATTTATTAATCCAACAATCTCATATGAGGTGAAATGTTACCAATTAAGATCCATATTACCAATTTCTGGGTTTAAGAAAAGTCACAAAAAACTGAATCCAAAGAGAAAAGTGAAATTGCCTATGCAATTCTAAAATTGAGTCATCATGGAAAATAAAATAACTGTGTAAAAAGCTCTCTGTAAATGTTCCTTTGATAAACAATGATTAAGTAGAACTTCTCTATATACTATAAATACTCTGCTAAATCGACCACAAAACTTAATACTCATGCAGATTTAAACAAGAACAAGCTTATTTGGACCAAAATACTTTTTATGGTGTCCCCATTCCCCTAGCAGTCATTACTATTGAAAAAAATTAAAAAACTTAGCAGCTATTCTCAATATACTAAAGCTAATGGTGGTGGTCAGACACAATGCAACATGTACTGACCATTGATCTAACAAGAGAGACAACAAATTTTGCTTGTTGTTTATTTTTGCAAGATGGCAGCCAGCCTGAAATAATAGAGCTGGAGGCAAAATTGTATTGGTAGTAGTAGTAGTAGTTTTTACCTAATAGGTGTTTAACCGCTTGACGCTGGTTCCTCCCAGCCGTTTAAGGGTTGTGACTTGGCTGTCACAGTAATCACATGATCGGAAAAGGTCCAGATTGCAAGTAGTGACTGGGACCTTTCCAAAAGGCGCAGGCAAAGATCCCAGGAGCGTGCGCTCTCGGGCACATGTTTATTTACTTTTGGTATGCAAGTATGCGGCCACTCGGCATCAAGGTCCAGCGTATTGTCAGTGCCAAGCAGTTAAATGTCTTAGTGGGGTTGATTTACTAAAACCGGAGAGTGCAAAATCTGGTGCAGCTCTGCATAGAAACCAATCAGCTCCCAGTTTTTTTTTTTTGACAAAGCTTAATTGAACAAGCTGAAGTTAGAAGCTGATTGGCTACTATGCATTGCTGCACCAGAGTTTGCACTCTGCAGTTTTAGTAAAGTAACCCCAATGTATTAACAATTTTGTCTATGGACCTGGGATGGCTGCAATATCTAAATATCTCTGAAATTAGAATCAATGGAAAGTTTTGTATTTAGACTGGATTTTTATTCAGTAGAGGAATTGCATTCAGCAGGGCTAGGTTACTGATCAATTAGAACTTTAATCCTCCACTTCAAAACAGATCACATGATTAAGTTCCTATGTCTTCAGCAATAGGGCCAGCAGCAAAGGCAACTTGGAGCAATGCTGTTTTCTCTGAAAAGATATGTATTTTAGGCTTTCAACTGGTAATTTTATCCATCCCACCCAAGAATGTAATGCCCTGTACATGCGATGAGAATATCATCCTTTTTTTTCTGCATGCTAATCTCATATCGATAATGAAAAGGTTACTAAATTTATGAAAATTCTCTTAGGACCAGGGGCGGACTGACCATTTGGAAACTCGGGCACTGCCCGAGAGCCCGGGGCCAGTAGGGGGCCCCATGAGATGCCCCTGGTATCTTTTTCATAGGCTTTTTTGAGTTTGGGCAAGGACACAGGGGCCCCATGAACCCCTATTGCCCGGGGGCCCCATGAGTTGTCAGTCTGCCCCTGTTTAGGACAGGATAAAAATTCAGAAGTGATGTCATGTATTGTACTGTATTTGTATTGTATTGTATTTTCGGACAAAAACTATACTGATTAAATGAAAATTGTGCAATCTGGTATCGTACAAGAAACATTTTTGTGCTTGTCCCTTCAAATAATTTTGGACAAAAGCTGTGTATTAACGATCAAATTATTGCACGATTGCTTCAAAAGTGGTATTTTTTTGTATGATTTTTTGCTCATGTGTACAAAGCTTTACTAAACTTTTGTGTTAATTGTGAATTTAAGTAAAATAGATAAGACACAGTCTAAGCTTAGATGCAGGTAGTCTTGTACTTCTTGTAGAGTTCCCCAAGCTGTGGCTGGACAATGATGGAGTAACAACGATGAGATCATCACTCTGCTCCCTACTACTTTCAGGAGGCTCAGCACTCAGCAATGCAGTGGAACCTGACTGGCTCAGTGTGTTGGTCCTACTTCTATCCTGAGTTTGCAAGGATTATAGGAGACTGATATCAAGAAAATAGCTGATACTTTTCCCAGCTGTGTGTACTATTAATACATTTAATGAATCCAAAACTGGAATAAATGGTGGATTTTCACATCTCCATGAAATTCAGTTTTACAACAGAATATAGGACAACTTGTACAGTATTATTTAACTAGCAGTCTGTTGAGGAACAAGCACTGCACCAACATGAACTTGGCCATAGTACAACAAGTTGACAAAGGCCACAGAGGAACAAGAGAATAAAATACCTTTGTCGTAGATTTCTTTTAAGACTCCTCTTTTAATGAGCTCCTCTCTGCTCTGTCTCATTGAAATCTTTCGCTCTAGTGCTACAAAGAAGAAGAAAAAACATTTAGAAACCCATGCTAAACACATAAACCATGTCCACACAGAAGTGTTCATGAGAAAAAAAAAAATACAATCTTTATTAATCCATATAAATGTCCTACTTTTAATTGTGCAGGAGATAAATCAGTTAGAGGGTTTTTTTTTCCCTTTTTGGTTACATATAATTTAGTTGATAAACACAAAAATACATAAAGTATTTTCAAGGACATCAAATAAAGTGATTCATGTTTTATAAGTTTTTGCTTTTGTTCATAAGTAGATAATTTCATTCTTATTAGGGCATGTGTGCCATTCATCATTTCAGGCATGATTTTTTTTTTAATTTTTGTAGTTATGATACATTTGAGATGCTTATTTCCTTCTGAACTGTTTTTGACTCTTCTGAGTGCCTTGAGTTGCTTTTTCTTTAAAAGAAACAGCTCAGTATCCAAAATGCCCTAAATTTCTCATCAGCCAGAAAGGAAGACAATTGATTCTATGCCACTTCAATGCACCACTGTTACAGTAGCCTTTACACCTTGCTGCTCCTTTGCTTGATATGGGTTTTCCAGAGCACACTAGCATAGTGAAGCAAGCACTGTCTTTCACTAAGTTATGGTTAAATAACTAACAATTCAAGCCTAAAAAACAATCTCAGATAGAGCATCAAAGCTGAGTTAATGAGCATGCCCTCTTCAGAGCCCAAAAGAAGAGGAGGGCACTCCCCTTAATGCATTTATATAGAGATATAGACAAATTAATTACTTAATCATCCTAGGACAGTGATGGTGAACCTTTTGGAGCCGGAGTGCTCGAAACTGCGACCCAAAACCCATTTATTTATCTTAAAGTGCCAATACTGCAATTAAATCTGAATAGTGAGGTTTTAGTTTAGAAAAAAAACAACTCATACATTAACATAGTACATTCACAGCTGGAGTTCCTCTTGAATTTTCTGACCACCAGCACAAGGGGTCAATGTTCCACTGCCCACCAGCACAGAGGGGCAATGTTCCACTGACCACCAGCACAGAGGGGCAATGTTCCACTGACCACCAGCACAGAGGGGCAATGTTCCACTGACCACCAGCACAGAGGGGCAATGTTCCACTGACCATCAGCACAGAGGGGCAATGATCCACTGACCACCAGCAGCACAGAGGGGCAATGTTCCACTGACCACCAGCACAGAGGGGCAATGTTCCACTGACCACCAGCACAGAGGGGCAATGTTCCACTGACCACCAGCACAGAGGGGCAATGTTCCACTGACCACCAGCACAGAGGGGCAATGTTCCACTGACCACCAGCACAGAGGGGCAATGTTCCACTGACCACCAGCACAGAGGGGCAATGTTCCACTGACCACCAGCACAGAGGGGCAATGTTCCACTGACCACCAGCACAGAGGGGCAATGTTCCACTGACCACCAGCACAGAGGGGCAATGTTCCACTGACCACCAGCACAGAGGGGCAATGTTCCACTGACCACCAGCACAGAGGGGCAATGTTCCACTGACCACCAGCACAGAGGGGCAATGTTCCACTGACCACCAGCACAGAGGGGCAATGTTCTACTGGCCACCAGCACAGAGGGGCAATGTTCCACTGACCACCAGCACAGCCAGGCAATGTTACACTGACCATGGGCACAGATGGGCAATGTTCCTAATGCTGCAGATTTAAATGCCAGGGGGAAAGCACAACATTAAAAGAATGTCAGTCTCCGTTAAATATGTATAAAAACTCACATCCAGTGCAGCAAATCGGCATTCTTGTGTGTAGCAATTAGCTGCAGTTGCAGATCCACTGCTGGCTGACCACGCTGGCTGAAGGCACGCTGAAAACTCAGAGGAGCAGCTAGGGAGGTAGTAGCGGCTCGTGACTTCATCGGCCGGTGCCACAGCTGCCCATGCGCGGGACCCGATGCTCGGCTGCAGGGCAGTAGTGGGGCAACTTGGCTCACGTGTTGGCAGTGAAGGCCTTGCGTGTCTGCTGTGGCACGCGTGCCATATGTTTGCCACCATAGGTTCCTAGGATGAAGTTGAGTCACCCTTATGCTGGCTTAACCATGTCAACTTTCACACTCTGGGGTTAATTTACTAAAGACAAATTGACTGTTCTCTTTGCAAGAGACCTTGCATTTTGCAAAGGGAAATTTGCCCAGAGCTTACTAAAAGTGAAGTTTCACTTTGCAAAGAATACCCAATCATGTGCAAGGGGAAAAAAAACACAGTAGGGTAGATTTACTAAAACGGGTACACAGAATCTGGCAGCTATGCATCGTAGCCAATCAACTTCTAACCTCAGCTTGTTTAATTACGCTTTGACAATAAAACCTGGAAGCTGATTGGTTTCTTTGCAGAAGTGCACCAGATTTTGCACTCTCTAGATTTAGTAAATAAGCCCCAGTATATTTGCTTGCACATGATTGGGTGATGGAAGTAAGCAGAGATTCATCTCAATTGAGAAGCTCTGGGGCAAATTTTCTTGCAAATTGCAACTTCACTTGCAAACTTAAAAGCCTATTTGTCTTTAGTAAATCAATTTCCCTGCTTGAGGAATTGATAAGCAATTTTATTTTTTAAATATAAAGTAATGCCTTAATGATGATAAGACACTCTGATGTATTTAACATGATAAAAACAGATGCGGCCAGTGCACCTACCCATCAACAGTAACCTAAGCTGCTCTAACACATCAAACGACTTTGAGTTCTTTATTGTTGTCCTAGGATGGTGGCTTCTCAGGGGAAGGCAAACTGCATCTTAAAGTATCTTAAAGAAGAATACCAGATTTAGACAAATGAATGGAAATATTCAGTAGCATGATTATGCTCCAAAATATGAGTGATAATCCTTTTTTTTTCATTTAATTTTTAATAAAAAAAAGAGAAGGGTTTTTCCAAATTGACACATAAGTCGACCAAAACAGGTCATTATTTATTCCCATCTACATCTAAACATTATAGTTCTACTGCTTACAACTGAACCTTAGTATGAAAAAAGAGAAGGAAAGGGAGAGAAAAAAAAGTGTGTGTGCGTGTGTGTGTGTGTGTGTGTGGGGGGGGGGGGGGTTGATTCAACTAAACCCAGATGTTTTTGCCAAAATGATAATAATTAAGGAATTAGTCTATAGGTCAGTACATCAACAACTGAGAATGAGATGAGTCTATAAATGAGTCTATAAATATCTTAAATACCCTCCAGAGATCCTATATATTGGAACAAATCAATGTAATTTAAAAATGTTTTGCTTCTGTGCTGAGTTCTCTGATTCTGAGATGTTCTGTAGTCCAGCAGAAGAGAAGTCAGTCAGAACTACCAACAATGCTCAGCCTTTCATAGCAGTATAAGGACTTATTACGGGAAGATAGGCGCTCACTGGATTTCTAGCAGGATCAAATGGTATTTTCTTATTTACTAAAGCTGGTCCACTCAGAATCTGGTGCACCTGTGCATGGTAGCCAATCAGCTTCTAACCTCAGTTTGTTCAATTACAGTGTTACTAAACCCACAATAGTAAAATCAGTCTGTATATGCAGTAAAATCAGTCTGTATATGCAGTAAAGCATGCTTGTTATACTCACTGTGGAACCTAAGGGGTTAATCCTGTGCATCGTGTAAAAATGCTGTTTGATCCTTTCTTCTCTGATCCTACCCTTCTACCAGTGTCCCCCTCTTATTTCCTGATAAGACATATATTGTGGAGTCACTCTGCTCAGTTTGGTGTGTTTTGCTAGAGAGCAAACTAGAGTTTTGCTAGAGAGCACTGTCAGACAGAGGTCAGGGGTTCTGCATCTTCCTAGAGCAGAATGAAAACTCCTCCTACAAGCTATAGCATGTGTTCGGCCAGACACTGATAGAAGTCACAAGACTGTTCTAATTGCTGATGAAAAAAGGTATTTAGCAGTTTATATTCACTAAAATAATTGCACTTCCATGTTTTGTATACTGTGGGAGACCAGATATAGTGAATGCAGGGTCCTGGGTTTCCTAACACTTTATGCTTTAGCAATAAAACCTGGAAGCTGATTGGTTTCTATGCAGAAGTGCACAAGATTCTGGGTGAACAAGCTTTAGTAAATAAACCCCACAGGTTTTAATAATCAAAATCATGGGGAAATTCACATATATTCAGGGACATACGGTATATGTTTTTTTTTTTTGTCCAGACATACATTTCAAGAATGCTGGCCAGTCATTACAAGACATTTAAAATATGATATAAATATATTCATGTCCATGTCATAACAGTAATTATTTTTTTTTTTTAAATGGCTAAACAGTGACAATTTGATGGATTGGTACATAAAAGCTTCTCCATACTTTTATCAGCATATACAATCCTCCACTGTGACAAGAAAAGCCATGTAACTCATCAATCTAAAAGATAGAGTAAAAAAATGGATGCTAATATAAATTCTGCAGCTGCATAGCAACTGTATTATACAGTATGTCACATAAAATGTGTTCAACTTGTCATTAAAGAAAATAATTTAGAGGTAATTCAGAAAACATGAAAGCTCCCTAACATGGAAGCTATGAACGTTTTAAGAAAATAAGGATATTAAAGAACATGGACAGAAACAGAAATCAGAGCAGAAAGAAGGCTTTAAGTATCATTCTCACCTTGATTCCTGTATTTGACAACTATATTAATAAACAATGAGGTATGCATGCATCAGAGGAGCTACACAATAAGATCAAGAACATCTAGTGCACAGAAGGAAATCCAAGAGCCACTTTCAGAGTTGCCAACACTGAAAACAACTTTCAGGAGACATGCTGTCTAGGACTTTAATATGCTACTCTACATGAGAGGCGGGCTTCTCTATTTTATTATAATAACTAAACCAGGATCAAAGGGATATAGTTCATTTCAGTTTCCTTGTCTTTATAGTAACAATAGATGCAAATCCTAAATATTTCCACATTTTGATTGCTACAGCGCTCTGTATAAACCATTGTCATAGTGTTTTTCTACAGTACTATTTTCACCCCTATTT